CGAAGCAGCGCTGCGTGGGGTGCGGCCTCCCACACTGCTGGCCGCTGCGGTCACCTGTGCGAATGACGTACGTGCAGGTAACGCTACGCTGCGCATACCACTCACGGGCGGCCTGAAGCGTCGGGGCGGGCTGCTGACTCTGCCCTCCGCCAGTGCCTCCACGACCACCACCCCCACCGCCGCCTCCCCGGCCACCTCCACCCCTGCCGCCGCCACGACCACCTCCGCCTCCGCTGCCGCCTCCGCCACCACTCCCACCGCTGCTGTCTCCTCCCCCACTGCCGCCACTAGTCTCCCCAGCCGCGCCTCCACTCCCACCGCCTCCACCCCCACCTCCTCCGCCGCCACCCCCACCCCTGCCCCCCTTGTTCCTGCGGCGCCCGCTCGAAGCAGACGCGGTCCCGACCTTCTCAGCACCAAGAAGGTCGACAGCAGCAGCAGAGGCGACAGAGGGGAGGAGGGGGGAAGGGGAACACCCCTCAAAGAACGGGGTGCGGGGGTCGCCACGAGAGGTGCCTACAGCGACGATGCTCGCCTCAGCTGCAAGCAGTTCCTTCTCGAGGAGGGCAACAGTGAGCTCAGTGGGGGAGCGAGAGAGGAAGTGGTCCCTGACTGCGCGCAGAGAGTCAGGGAGGCGGGTGACGATGTGGTAGAGAGTGATCCAGAGTGGGGGGGGGTTGCTAGTGAGAAACTCGGCAGGCATAGCAGCGCGAAAGCGGGCCTCACTAGTCTTAAGGTGGGTGATGAGGTCTGCGACAGTGTGAAAGGAGGCTAGGTCGGGGAACAGGTAGGGGAGAGTGAGGCGGCCTAGCGTGGCAGAAGCGGGTGAGGAGTAGCGGGCAACTACAGCGGTGTAGAGGTCCTTAGCAGTCTTGCACTGGCCGAAGTGCTCGCGCTCGTCTAGCGGCAGGGAGTTGCGAATAGCAAAGCGAGCGTGGGCATCACGGGTCTGCCACTGGGAACGCAGAGTGCTGTCAGCAGACGAGTCAGGGGCAGTGGCATGGCCTAGGGCGTGGTCGTACAGTGAGATATCTTCCTTGGCAGTGAGCTGTAGGAACAGGTGCAGGTCATCTAGCCAGGTTTCGAACTTCACTGGACGGCCCTCGGCATCGAAAGCTAGAACTGGCGGACTAGCCATAGCGACAGTAGCAGTAGCAGTAGTAACAGTAGTAGTAGGAAGCAGGCCGCTGGAAAGGTGTGCGGAGGGTCAACGGGGCCGGCGGGGCCGCTAGGCAAGGCGCGGGCGGGGTCGACTGTCCGTAGTGGCACACGAGCGGCAGTAGTAGGTAGCGTGGCAGTAGGAGCTGCAGCGGTGCACTGGTGGCAGCTGCAGTGGCAGCAGTGTGCGCGGTAGGTAGAAAATAAACAACAGTGAGAGCGAGTGCCTCGCGGGCGGCGGCTGCAGAAGCGCACGGGCGGCAGCGGCGCACGGGGAACGGCGGTGCACGGGCAGCGGCAGCGCACGGGCAGCGGCAGCGTAGGAGCAGCTACGGTGCACAGGCAGCGGCGGCGCACAGGCAGCGGCGGCGCTCGGGAGGCAGCAGTGCGCAAGCAGCAGCGGAAGCAGCGGCGTACGAGCGGCTGCGGGCAGCGGGGCGTGCGCGAGCAGGCGACGGGCGGCTGCGGGGCGTGCGCGAGCAGGCGACGGGCGGCAGCGGGCGGGCGGCTGCGGGCAGGCGGCCGCAGTGACAGCGGGCTGCGGGCCTGCGGGACGTGCGCGAGCAGGCGACGGGCGGCTGCGGGGCGTGCGCGAGCAGGCGACGGGCGGCTGCGGGGCGTGCGCGAGCAGGCTACGAGCGGCTGCGGGGCGTGCGCTAGCAGGCGACGGGCGGCTGCGGGGCGTGCGCGAGCAGGCGACGGGCCGCGCGCGAGGGAAGCGAGGCGCGCGCGGGCAGCAGGCGGGGCGCACGTATGAAAAAAAAAAAAAAAAAAGACCGCGCGCGAGCGGCTAAGGGGCGGCGCGACGGGGCCTTAAGGGGCGGGTCGCGGGTCGCGAGAGGTAGGGGCCGTAAAAAAAAATTCGAGGCGCCCTAGGTAGGTAGGTAGGTAGGTAGGGAACGGTGGGCCCTAAAAAAAACGGTCCTAGCGAAGGACCTGCTCTGAAACCATGTCAGAATGAACGGACAGGAATGATGAACTAGCAAGGATTGTGAGTACAAATATGAAACCCTAATGTTGTGACCCCCCTATAGGCTAACCCACTACAGCCTACACAAATACAACAAGTATAATGTTTGACAGCACGTAGTTTGGCGGAAATTCGTAGCACGTTTTCTTCTACCAAGTTGGGCGGGAAATTCGTTGCCGCTGGCTATACGAAAAACAGTAGGGCGCTCTGTGGAAAGCTAAAAAAGGTGGTGTAACGAGTGGCTCATCTGGTGTACCGTTGTTTTACGTATTTATTGGCTCATGTCATATCGGGTACGAGGGAGGATGCTACTTGAAAGTCTTTTGGTTTAAAGCTTGTTTTCCACATGTCGCTCTCTCAAGTCGCGCTAACCCTTTTTTTTTTAAGCTGCGGTCTACATACGGTACAAAATGGTGTTTTCTGGGGGCATTTAGTGTGCATACTCTTTGGCGCCCGATGATTGGGGAACGAAGTGAGCGGAAGCATGAGACACCTAGGCGAGGAATGCCAAGCGTTGTGGCGTTGCCAACCAATTTCGTGAGGGGTTGAGTTGGGGGGGAAAAATCGCGGACTGGCGGAAGAAGAAGGCCTCCCCCACATAACCACACAGGATTACGAACGCTGTTTTTTTAGCCGATGTGAACAAGCACGGCTTAGCTTCCGCCCGTAGTTAGTGCATACGCCAACGTTTTTAGTATACCATCATTGGGCGCCCGCAATCCTAAGCGCGCAGGGCGTCTGGCTCATGTTATATCGGGTACGAGGATGCTGCTTGTTTGCCACATGTCGCTCTCTCAAGTCGCGCTAACCTTTTTTTTTTTAGTGAAAGCTTATACAATTAGATGTTCAGGCAAAACACCACAGTCGTAACTGAGAGAGATCGCGTCGAGGCAAACAATAACGGCGTTTGATCGAGTGTGTGCAGCTCGGGTGCGATGTGCGATTGGAGTGGTTGGGCGAATCTCGCGAGGTGGTAACGGAAAGAGCGGTCGCGATCGGTCGCAGTGCATGTACGTGTACTGCGAGTGGCTCTCCTTAGGTCGAAAGTGCATCCGAGTTTGCCGACAAAGAATTCGCCTCGCCAGGTGGTGGCAGTTGGTCTCTCGTTCCCGTTCGCACCAACCGAAATGTTACGAAGTTCTGGTCGCATATAGTCGTGCACACTCGCGGAAGTCGCAGTTCGGTCGCTTATTACGAAGGGTTGACTTTCCCGAGTTTCCCTCACTCCCGCACATCCCCTCCAGCGATGCACCCCCTTGCAAGCCGAGCCAAGTCCCTCCCGCCTCGCCGCCACTTCCAACCCAGCCCGCCCGAGGGGCACTGCCATGCAAGCCAAGGCAGACCCTCCCTCGCCGCCTCTTCCATCCCAACCAACCTGTCACCTCACCCCACCCCACCCAACCCCACCCTACTCCACCTCACCCCACCCGTCTGTCACACCCACCGAACTCATCTTTCTCACCTCACCTGTGCAAGCCTCACCCAACTCCCTCATTCCTCGTTCCTCGTTCCTTCCTAGCCCAGCCTCACTTCCTTGTCCCTCGCTTCTCGTTCTGGGTCTGATGGCGGGATGTCATGCTGTATCGCGCCGCTTCCTCGAGTTGCAAGGGTGCAACGTCAGATTCTGGAAACTAAAAATGTCGGATCTTAGACACTTGTCTGGAAAAAAAAAAAAAAAAAGACAAGGGGTGTTTTTTTGTCGGAACGTAGCGCCGCCCCCTGCCGCCGCGCTCGCTTTTTCACGACCATGAGTTTTGCAGCTTCTCGATGTGCCTCTCACGTCTAGCTGTGCGCCTCTCAGGATAAGCTGTGGGCGTCTCACGACAGGAGTCTCGATACACGCACGGCACCCAAAAAGAAGTGTGAGAGTGAGTGGGCACGTGATAAAAGAAGTGTTCTTTATGAGGCGTCTCAAATCGCTTCTTTTATATCACGTGGTTCTGCAGCTTCTCAATCCACCCTTCGATACGCCGCCCCGCACGAGTGGTGTGGGTGATAAGTAGCTTCACAGGTGCGGCTTCAGCCATCGCCGCCGCAGAGCCACTCGTCCCAACCAACCCAACCCAACCCAAGAATGCACAGATTCATGAACCCTTACGATGAGAGGATAGGATAGCTCGGAGGGTGCGCCCCGCGGCGCGTGTACCACCCTATCGGATAGCGCGCGGCGGCTTCAGCCGTCGCCGCAAATGCCACTCGACCCAACCCAATACCCTTGAACCCTTGGGATGGGAGGAGGATAGGATACCTTCGAGTGTGCGGCTTCATATTCCGAGGGTTTCCGAGAAACCTCCGAGGTAGCCTACCGGTGAGGGATGCCGCAGTACCCTGTGCGGCAGAGGCGAATGGCCTGTGCGCCAACAGAACAAGGCCCAAATTCATGTTCATTCATTCCCTCCAAACTTCCCTCCGAGAGCGGTGACCACGAGGTTACCTCCAACTAACAAACATGTTCACGCACCCGCCCCGAGCCGCAGTGGTTGCAGAACAAAAACAGATTACCTGCTTCGACCACTGGCAGTCAGCTTCATGCATCGGAGTTGCCCAAGGCTCTGCCATAGTAGAGCCTGCGCCAGGCATTCGATTTTCTACCAATCAGCTTATTCCATAATGCATGCATCGGAGTTGCGCAAGGCTCTGCAGTGCCGCCCGGCGCGCCGAGTTGACTTTTTGGGTCCGCTCAAACAGGTCAACCCGCGTCGAGCATTCGATTCGGGCTAGAACGAACTGGCTCTAAGTATTTAGTGCTTCCCTCAGGGAGCAACATCATCACTTAGTATTTAGAGGCTCTCATCTCATTCTCACAACATCACTTCTCTCTTTAAAGTCGCATTCAGCCTCTCTTCTCTGTCTAGTAGTCGTACCAATCATCATGAAGACTCATCGGATGGGGCACCCAGCAGCAGCATCTCTATTTGCCATCCTGCTCTGTAAGTCCTGCTGCCACTGCCACTTCGACGGTGATCCAACTCTCTATCTCTCTCCCTTTTCCGACTCCCTCCGCTGCTCTTTCCCTTCTGCTGTAACCACTTGGCCCACGCAGCTTCTGCGACTGTAAAACCCTGACATGTTCTGCTGCAGTGCTAGCAAAGCAACGTGATGATGCTTGCTATTGCTGTTTTTTCGCCACCTGCCATTGGCTGAGGCTGTGGATTCAGACGCTTTCGTATTGCATGAGATTCAAAATGTTGTTACAGGTTGGTTGCAGACAGTTCCAGTGTCAATCAGTGCACGCCCCTCTTCGTGACGACACTCATGTTCTCCCTGCTCTACCCTGCTTTGCCCTGCTTCGCCCTGCACTGCTCTCTGCTCTGCTCTGCTCTGCTTCGCCCTGGCCGCAGCGTCTGGGGCATCACTCCTCACGCCATTGCTCCCACACGATGGCAACACTTCCACCTCATCATCCACGCCTGCAGTGTCTGCGGCATCACTCCTGGCGCCATCCCTCCCAAGCAATGGCAACGCTTCAACTGCCTTGCTCTGCCCTGCTCTTCCCTGTCCTGCTCGCCAGGTGCTGCGCTCTTCACAGCTGCAGCGTCTGCGGCATCACTCCTCGCGCCATTGCTCCCACACGATGGCAACACCTCAACTGTCTGCCCTTCTGCTCTTCTGCCTTTCTGCTCTTCTGCTCTTCTGCTCTTCCCTGCCCTGCCTGCCAGGTGCGGCGGTCTTCACGGCTGCAGCGTCTTAAGCATCACTCGTTTCGCCAATCCTCCCACACGATGGCACCTTTTCCACTGTCGTGTCTGCCCTTCTGCACTCCTCTGCCCTCCTCTGCCCTCCTCTGTCCTCCTCTGCCCTGCCTGCCAGGTGCGGCGCTCTTCACGGCTGCAGCGTCAGCGACATCAGTGCTCGCGCCATTCCTCCCACACGACGGCAGCGTTTCCACTGCCGTGTCTGCCCTTCTGCCCTTCTCTGCCGTCCTCTGCCCCTCACTTCTCGTCCCTGCCCTGTCGACCAGGTGCGGCGCTCTTCACGGCCGCAGCGTCTGCGGCATCACTCGTCGCGCCAGTGCCCTCCCCTCCTCTCCCCTGCTCTGCCCCTCATCATGACGCCACGCGTGCCCTCCTCTGCCCTGCCTGCCAGGTGCGGCGCTCTTCACGGCTGCAGCGTTCGCAGCATCAGCCATCGCGCCATTGCTCTCACACAAAGTCACCGTTTCAACCGCTGTGTCTGCCCTTCTGCCCTCTCTGCTCTGCTCTCTGCCCTGCCCGCCAGGTGCGCCGCTCTTCACGGCAGCAGCGTCTGTGGCATCACTCATCTCGCCATTGCTCTCACACAACGGTAACGTTTCCACTGCCGTGTCTTCCCTTCTGCCCTTCCCTGCCCTGCTCTACCCTGCCCTCCCCTTCTCTGCCCTGCCTGCCAGGTGCGGCGCTCTTCACAGCTGCAGCGTCTGCGGCATCACTGCTCGCGCCACTCCTCCCACACGCGAAGCCGCTTGTGAAAGGGAAGACTGTCAGTAAGTGTCTCAGTATATGTGCTCCTTTCACTATTCTAGGAGCCATTCAGTGCTCCTGTGGATCTTCAACTAGGGCGTTAATTTCTTCACTGGACGTGCTTCTAGCAACACACAATGACACACGAAGACTGTCAGTAAGTGTCTCAATATACGTGCTCCTTTCACTATTCTAGGAGTCATTTGCTCACTAGACGTGCTAATAGCAACACAAGACGCATAGGGCTGCAGCGGGAAAGAAGTGAGTTTTGAGACGTCTCAAAAACTCCCTTCACTAGACGTGCTACGAGCAACGCACAAGACACACAAACCCAGCTGCAGCATTGCCAGCTATAACGAACGAATGCGTCACTAGCTGCGGGTGTGAACAATAACGACTGTGTTAATAACGATTGCATTTTACTTCTCACGATAGCATTGATACTGCAGAAGATGTTTCCGCTTGTAATCCGTCCGTCCCATGACACGCTGCCCACTGCCCACAGGCGATTCTAACAACCCTTTCTTAGTCGCCTCGAATATCCCTCTGATAGTCCGTCCGTCCCATGATATGATGCCCACAGGCAATTCTAGAAACCGTAGAACTGTGCACCAGTCTCATCCCTTGGTTGTGTTACCGCTGTGGTTGTGCTACAGGGCATCCTCAAGCCATCTTGAGTGCAGCATCCTCATTTCTGATCCTTTTACTGCCTCCCCTCTCCCTCCATGCACCCCTATCCCTGCCATTCCCTGCTCTTCCCACTATCTCAGTGAAATGCATGGGTTATCTGCGTCCACTTCCTCATTACTGATCCTTTTACTGCCTCCCTATGTACCCCTATCCCTGCCATTCCCATTATCCCAGTACAATACGTGGGCAATCTGCGTCATCCCCAATTCTGATCCTTTTACTGCCTCCCCATGCACCCCTATCGCTGCCTATCCCTGCCATTCCCATGGCCTCAGTAAAATGAATGGGCACGTTGTGTCCCACTCAGATCAATCCCCATACGCCCCTATCCCTGCCATTTCCTGCCTTCCTGCTATCTCAGTAAAATACGTGGGCAATTTGCGTCCCACTAAGGTGAACGGGAAAGTGGTTGGCGACAAAGGGGCATCAGGGAAAATTATAATGAAGGGCATCCGGTAAGTTTCCTGCGCGATTTCAGTGTTCTATTTCAGTCTTTTGGTGCACCATGGACCTATTCATAGTGCACCTCAGGTATTGCAACATGCACTCAGCGACAAAGGTGCACCATGGTAGTTACACCTCTGTGTGGTGTACCGTCAAGTGTGTGATTTCACTCTAATTAGTGCCAGTACTGCACCATACAGTCAGCACTGAGCCAGCACAGGACATAGCAGGTTGTGCGTTTCCTTGCTCCTGTATATAGAAATTATCTCTTACACTCCCACCCCCCTTCGCCCTCCCCTCTGCATTTGAGTCGACCCAAAAGCAGGTTGTTTTTGAGTCGACTCAAAAGCAGGTTGTGCGTTTCCTTGCTCCTGTAGATAGAAATTACCCTTTACACTCCCACCCCCCTTCGCCCTCCCCTCTCCCCAACCCCTTCTTCCCCCTTTTCCCCGTTCCCCCGGTCCCCTTCCTCCCCACCCCTTCCCCTCTCCTCGTCCTCGATCTCCCATTCCCCCTCCCCTGTCCCACCTCCCCCGCTTCCCTGTGTCCCTCCCCTGTCCCGCCTTTGCAACCACTCCTTTCACTGTCCTGTTACCAGATATGCGTCAACGTCATATGCTAGCAGCTTGTTTTTCCAAGTCCTCAACATCGCATCTGGAGGGGAGCCACCGTCCACGAGCTTCGGAGCGTCATGTATTCCCAATGGCTTCGAACCGCCCATGAGCAAAACCTGGGTGGAGGTCACGAGCAGCAAGAGTGCTCGCCGCAAGCGTTACAGCTTCATTGTGAAAGAGTTTTCCGGGGCGAAGAGTCTGGCGGAGGTGCGGAGCGCGATGGATGAGGCCTTGAGAGTTAATCATTCAAACAACAAGCTGGTGCTTTGTGGAAAGTTGATCAAGGTGAAATAAGGAGGGTTATTTAGTCGGACTCAAAACTCACCTGGAGTTTTCCGGGGCGAAAAGCTTGGCGTAGGTGTGGAGTGCAATCGACGAGGCAATAGCAATGGGGAGATTCTTGAGAGTCAACCATTCATACAAAAAGCTGGTGTTTTGGGGGAAGTTTATCTAGGTGATATAAGGAGTGGCTCAATGCCGAGATAGGCCTTGCCAACCACCTGTCACATACTTCATTACTGTCAACCAAGTGCAGTACACCTTGCTATGGTGTCACCTTACCATGTGACAACTGAGACTTACTGACTCCCCCTCTAAGCTTCTCCGCAACATTCACCAGCAGCAGCAGAAACGAGGTACGAGCAACAGCTGTTAAAAATACAGGTTGAGATTCACTAAGCGATTGTAAATGGAGCATACACCTCTACAGTACCGTATGGCCCCGGATAGTAGCGCAGGTGCGCTTATAATAAAATCTTTTTTTTTAGGGGGGGCGCTTCTAAATGAGGTTCAGGCATAAGCGCCGGCGCTTATATAATGACAAATACGAAATTATATACTTAGAGCACCAAATTGTTCATTTTCCTCTTGCCATTTCAACCGAGTCGAAATGTTTTTGCGTCACAAACCAGAATCTCGCGCACGCGATATTTTGGGTTCACACACAGGCCAGACATGTCATTGGCAGCACATCCTGACTGGACGCGCAGCCAGTCAGGTCTTCGCGAGTCAAATAAAGCGAAATTGAAATTTGACTAGCTGCAAAAATGAATTCCGTTACCGTTTTAAGCAAGATTTCAAATAAAATTACATGTGCGCTTATAATAAGCAAAGGTCTTTTAGGGGGGGCGCTTATAATTGAGGACCGACCATAAGTGCCATGCTCCAGATAGAAGCGTCAACGCCTTTAATCGGACGGCGCTTATATCCGGGGCCATACGGTACTGTAGATGGAGGTGACATGGGATGGGAGGGCTTAAAAAGTTAGGAGATGTTGTAGCCAGGCCCCAAATTTCAAGGGTAAAATACCCTTTTTGCCCTGATGGTAGGCCGCTTTTTCCCAGTTACCCTTGCAAAAACAGGGTATCAAATTTATTACCCTAGAGCAAACAGGCTAAGATTTGATTTACACTGATAACGATTTCTGTTACCCTGCCGATATCAGGGTCCACTGTATACTTCACAGATACCGAATCCTCTTAGCGAGAGTTTTCCTTGCGAAGCTGCGAAAAAATATTTGTGCACCAGCCAGATTCGGACCTGCAACCTTCGGAATTCTAGCCTCACATCTGACTAGCTGAGACATGTTGTGGTGGAATCTTGCTCTAAGAAGTTCTATAGATAAAAAAAACTATTTCATCCTTTGAAAATCAGTGTACATGTTTTTTTAGGCTGTTTTTGGCAGGGTACGAAATATTTTACCCTAACAGTCAGGGTACTGGGGGCCTGGAACCCTGATTTGAAAGAGTGGACCTAAACCTATTTTGGGCCCTAGTTGTAGCGTTTTTATTCTCTTTTTTTTTTTGGGTTGCGAAGCAACCTATTACAATCGTTATGCTCATATTTTTTCATATTTTAAAAATTAAAATATGAAAAAAAAAGCAATGGATTTTTTTCCAATGACTACCTTACTATACTTGTTGGGTTGGGATACGTACGGTATGTGGCTGTGTGCTCCGTCTGTGTGTTCAATTTTTGCCTACTTTATGGATGTGTACCATGTAATGCGTATATTAGTATGATGAATTTAAAATATGATTTGCATAATGCATGAATACGATGGATAATAGAATGCATGTTAGTATGGTACATGTCGCTGCAGTATGTATGCCAGTAAATGATAGAAATGCGTGATAGTTATAAAAGCTAAACAACTAGGCTACCGCATCCCCTGCCTAGCATGGGGGGGAAGCCAATAGCCTAGCATTTAACGCATACAACTATCATATGAAAACAACACAATCTGTGTATCATTAAAAAATGATCAGTTCCATCAAATCCCGTTCAAGTGAACACACTCACTAAGTGGGCAAAGAACGTTCCCGGAAATGATTGTCAAAATATGTTGCCCATATTTCATATAATTGTCTGTAGTGTTAGTGTAGCTGCCTCATGTTTGGTGGTGGTGCGCCTCCTTGTCTTGCTCATCCTAGTATTTGTACTTGTCTTTCCATAATGAACACCCTCCTTTGCTTAGCTTTCTCTCCTTCACCTAGCCTAAACCCTAGGCTAGTGGCTCTAGCAATATCTATTATTTTAACATGGTATCAGAGCGAGGTTTCTCCTAGGACCTGTCTCATAGGGCCCACCACTACGCTTCCGCTCATGGGCCTCTCTGCCGCCGGTCGCGCGCCCGGGGCGCGCGTCGGTTTTCTGCCCGCCGCGCGCCCCGAGCGCGCTATTAGAATCTAGAATAGAACGAGAATGGATGAACTAGCAGGAAGGTGGGTACAAGTATGAAACCCTAAGTTTGTGTACCCTCTAAGGCTAAACCCACTATAGCCTACACAATATAAACATACAATGTTTGACACACCCCCATAGGCGAAGTGGGAGACAACCAGAGGGTCACAAGACCAGTCAAAGCAAAGCAAAGCAAAACAGGCTCAGGGTGGATCTCAAGGATACCACACAAATTCCGAGCACAAGCAAGCGGTCACAAGACCAGTTCACATGCAGTTTGATAATATAGCAAGAGATACAGTGATCGCAACCTAGCAAGTGTAAGCATGCAGGTATATATATAGAGATCACAGTACAAACAGAGTCAAGAAGTAAGCAAGTGAGGTCCAGCAGGCACAAGGCCTAGAAGAGTACAGAAGCGCTGATGGTCACAAGGCTGAAGCGCCTTGGTGAACACATCAGCAGTGTTGGCCTCAATGGCCACGTAACGCAGACGAAGCTGACCGCGCTGCTGCAGCTCTCGAGCAAGGAAGTACCGCAGGGCGATGTGCTTCGTTCTGTGCTCCAGTCTGTGCTCCTCACACAAGGCAATGGCAGCCTTGTTGTCGACGTACAGCACTGGAGGAGAACGAGGCCGCTCTCCCAAGTCGGTCAGCAGGTAGGTGAGCCAGCGTAGCTCCTGGGCCGCCATGGCTGTGGCGTAGATCTCAGCCTTACAACTGGAGCTGAGAACAGACGAAGATCATGTAGAACGCCAAGAAACTAAGCCAGAGCCAAGGCTGAAGGTGTAACCCTGAGACGACCGCTGAGTAGCCTGGTCGTCCGCCCAAGAAGCGTCTGAGTGTCCAGTAAGTACAACTCGGTCTCGCCCTCCAAGCACTAGCCCCATGCCCGACGTACTGCACAAGTAGCGCAACACCCTCTTAGCGGCATCCATGTGCTCCTTCCTGTGACGGCCAGGAGCGACATAGCGTGCAAGGATGCTAAGAGGGTATGCAAGGTCAGGTCGAGTGCAGGTCATCAGGTACATGAGGCAGCCGACAAGCTCTGGATACGGGCCACTCGGCTCTACGGACTCATCCGAAGGCAGAGCTGAGAGCGAGTGACCGGTAGGCAGAGGAGTGGACTGAGGCGAGGAGTACGTGAAGCGGAAGCGCTGAAGGATCTGCTGCACCATGTGTGACTGAGTCAAGGTGATGGTGCGCCGTGCTCTGTCCCGAGTGATCCGCAAGCCAAGATAGCTTGTCAGTTCACCCAGGTCTGTGCACGTGTGTCTCTTCTGCAGCTTCGACTTCACGTGGGCGAGTGCCGCAGTGTCAGCAGTGGCAAAGACCAAGTCGTCGACGTACACGAGGATGTAGAACGGCGGCAGCGAGGTGTCGGTGCGTAGAAACAGCGACGGGTCAGCAGTAGAAGGAGTGAACCCAAGAGCCGCAAGCGTAGTCCTCAGTGTGTCGTGCCACTCACGTGGCGCCTGGCGGAGACCGTAGACCGGCCGCTGGAGCCTCCACTGGGTACCAGGAGGAACCGACCCAGTGAAGCCAGGAGGGCGACGCAGCCAGATCTCCTCGTGCAGGCTGCCCTGTAAGAAAGCAGTGCTGAAGTCAAGTGAGTGAAGCTCGTAGTCGCGCTGAGCGGCTATGTGCAGCAGTACCCGAAGAGTGGTCATCTTCGGGGTGGGGGAGAAGGTCTGGAAGAAGTCTACTCCCTCTCGCTGACTTTAGCCTCGAGCAACGTAGCGCGCCTTGAAGACAGGAGGAGAACCCGGCGGCCGTTTCACCCTGAAAATCCACATGCCACTGACAATGTTCGCCCCAGGTGGGGGAACCTCGTCGACGTAGGTGCCTGTGGACTTCTAGGAAGCCATCTCTGCGTCCATGGCTGTCTGCCACTGAGAGGAGTAGGGACCCGCGATCGCCTCTGCGTAAGAGCGCGGGGTCGGGATGTCTGGTGCATCCGGGTCTCCCTCAGGGGCGACTAGCATGGACACGAGATGGGGCAAAGCAGCAGCAAAGCACTGGAACTCCTCCTGTCTGTCCTCAAGGACGTCCGTGCCAAGAGCACACTCACCCCCGACGGACGGAGGACAGACAGACTCAGACTCAGCAACAAGGCTAGCGGCGTAGTCGAGACGACACCGGGCAGCAAAGTCAACCAACTCAGCGACCAGAGCAGACGCAGCAGAGGACTCAAAGGAAGGGTCAGTGACAACAGTGGCGAGGAGACGCGTGACAGTGGGACTGGCAGCACGATGGGAGTCAGACTCCGGGTCAGGAAGAGTAGGTAGAGAGGACGCAGGAGGAGACGGCAGAGGGACACGCTGAGGAGCAGTGGAGGGACGCAGAGTCATGTAGTGAGTGCCAGGGACAGGAGGAGGACGCTCACGTGGGACACGACGACCAGTGCGAGCAGTACGAACAGGCGACACAGGACGAGACTCAGGCTCACGACGCTCCGTAAGACCTCCTGTGGGACCAGTGTAAGGGGAGGGACCAGGGAGAGGCGAGGCAGGCGGTAACTGTGACTGCGACTGGACAGGCGGAGGACACTCTAAGGAGGAAGGAGGACAAGGAGGAGGTGTCTGACCAAGAACCTGCTGAAGGAGCGGCACG